ACCCCACCCCCGTCTTCCCGTCTCCCACCCCCAGCCCACGACGGATGGAAAGACGGACAGACACACCTCGGCACAGCACATGTATCACTTACTGCCCGCGCAGGGTTCCCCTGGTCGATGGGGTTCTTGAAGTCGGTCCGCAGCTCATCAAAGGCTATGATCTGGGGGAGGGGCGTGTGCCCGTCAGGGTTGGGGCAGCAGTTTATGACCTTCCCCCCAAGTCCTTCTGTGGGATAGGAGTTTACTGAAGAGGACCAGCCAGGTGGAGCTTGTTGCAAAGGTGGAGAAACCGAGGCCCAGGGAGGGGCAGGGCCTGGTCCAAGGTCATCACAACAGTCCAGAAGGGAACCCTAGCGTCTGGATGCCCAGTTCAGGCCCATGTCCACTACACCTCCTTCCGAAACATCCCAAGACATGGCCTCGTGTCTGCCCTACCAGGTCTCAGGCCCTGTGCTGAGCACTGGGGCTGCAGAGGCCTGGGATGCAGCCTCTGCTCGGGAGGAACCCACGCCCAGAGGGATGATCACTCTACGTTCCAGGTGATCAGGGTTTAGGGTACAGGACCTGGAGTGGGTGCTTAACCCTGTGTGGAGGGTGAGGGAGTTCAGGCTCGACTCGGAGTAGGTGTTGGTGAGCAAATGGGGGAAATGCAGTTCAACCAGAAGGTGCAATGGCAGAGGGGTGAAAGGTCAGGAGACATTCAGGAGGCTGCGGGTTTCATGGGGCTGGCATGACAGCGCGGCGAGCAGGAAGAAAAGAGGGAGTGGTGGAAGAGGAGCTGGAGAGTTCAGCAGAGCCAGACATGGACAACCTGTGAGGCTGGAGCAGGAGGTTGGACTCTAACACAAAAACATTGTGGGGAGGCATGGAAGAGTACACAGCAGCAGAGTGGGGTGGTCAGGCCCATGTCTTAGGATTGGTCCATGTCTCAGGATTGGTGGGGCAGGAAATCCGAGCTCACTGACAGTCACAGCTGAGATCTAAGTGGTGCTTCTGCTGGCAGGTATGTGGATTAATTCATTTAATGCTTACAACCTAATGATTTAGGTACTAGTTTTATTTTCATGTCTATTTTGCAGATGAGGAAGCTGAGACAGGTTGAGTGACTTGTCCAGGGTCACACAGCTGGTTAGTGGATTCTAACCCAGTGTGACTCCAGAGTTAAAATTCCTAACCACTGTGTCATACTCAGGTCAGACCAGCAAGGGGACAGTTTGGAGGGTTAGGGGCAGGGCTGATGGTGGTCTGAGTGAGGAGAGTTGTAGTGGAGACGGAAGGCGTGTATGCGATTCTACAGCTCTTTAGGAGCCAGACTCCAGAGGGTTCAAAGGGCCGAGAAGTGAAGGCAGAAGTCTAAGGTGTCTTCAGGTGTTAGGGTGTCTGGCAGACGGCAGTGTCCTCACGGGTGGAAACTCTCCAGGGGAGCAAGTGTTTGAGGGGATGATGGGATGGGCCTGGGAGGAGCTGACAGGTGACTTGGGGGAAATGGGCTGGCAGAGAAGCCTGCTGGGATCCCCTCCCATCAGCTCCAGCCCTAGGATGAGGCAGCAGGCCCACCACCCCCAGGCATCCCAGAACCCAGACGGCTCAGAGAGAAAGAACATGGGCTTCCTGGAGGGAGCTGGGGCCATCTGGATCACCACCCCCCCCACCCAGTTCCTCATTGACTGGGCAGCCGCCGCTTGGCACACACAGCAACAGGGTCCACAGGGAGCAGAAGGGTGCCGTCTGTGCCCCAGAGCTGGCATCACCAGCAGGCGGCAGGCGTCGCGCCTCCCACCCCCCAGGCTGCCTGGTGCTGACTCAGCCCCCCCGGAACAAACAATCCCCCACGGTGACAGCTGACACGCATCACTCACCACCAGTGTTGCCTAGGAACCACTGGGGCCTGGGCTGAGGGTCTGGAGTGGGATCTGGGGTCCTGCCCTGTTAAGAGTCTAGTTCTTAGCAGCTGTGGACTGAGGACCACACCTCCTATCCCCTACCACCCAGCAGGCCGCACTAGGCACTCTGATGTGCACAGGTCCACTTCGCCAGTGAAGAACCAGACTCAGGACAAATGACTAGATAAGATCATCCAGTTAAATGGCTGAGTGGACACAGTACCTCACATAGGTGCTCAATCAATATCTGTTGAATGAACAAAGACATTTCTTCAAAGCTTGGGCCTTTCCTCCCAGCCTGGGCACTCCACAAGGGCAAAGTCTGGTTTTATTCATCCTTGACCCCCTCAAAGCCACCCAGAGCCTGATCTTTGGGAAGCATCAATGCAGGTGTGGTGGATGGAAAACTGCTGAGAATCCCCTGAGGACAGGGACCCCACAGAGCCTGTGGGAAGGCCCTGGGTGGGGAAGGCCCCAAAAAGGGGCATCCTGAATTCCAGAAGCCCTTCTCCTAGGAGCTGGTCAGCTCTGCATTCCCCAGCCTGTGGCCTCCAGCTCCCTTCAGCCCTTAGAACCCTAGCCCTCCTGCCCCTACCTCACAGAAATAAAAATAGAGTAACTCGGGGTCGGGGGGAAGTGGGGGGAAAGACAAAGCAACCAAGACCCAGGGAGACAGCAGAGCCAGGCCAGGGAGTGACAGGGCTGGAGCTGGAGTGTGTGCTGAGGTGCCTGTGGGGGCTCACTCCTCACACAGTATAGGTTCAGTCAGTCTATGGAATCCCGATGGCAAAGAGCAAGGTGGCAGGGGATGGCAAAGGGAGCGCAGGGGGAACCATGGAGCAGGCAGCAGGTCCCAGGAAGAGAAAGGAGAGAGGAAGTGGGGAGCCCGGGGAAAGAAGCAGGTGAGGCACTAGGAGGAAGGAGGGAAGGGTTATGGGAAATGGGATTGAGGGAGGGGTAAGAGGACCCCCGAAAGGGAATGACAATCAGGGAGGTGTGCGCGGGAGGTGTGGGCAGAGAATGCTGAGCTGAGCCGACCAGGGCCAAGCTGGGCAGGCTGTTACAGAGACAGGCACGGGGTTTGGGTGGGGGTGGGGAGGGAGGGCAGTAAAGTGGGGCCAGGGGCCCCCAACAACCAGC